ATATTCAAACGGAAAGGGAAAGATAAAAATGTTCAATTACAACAAAGTCCAAATACACAGTCCTCGTATCTATTAACTATTTTACGTACGCAGCCAATGACCATGTTGATTGTGAATCTACAAAATTAGATAAATATTTTTGGTTATACGATATGAAATGATTAGAGGGTAAGTTAGCCCTGCCACAATTAAGGTGAGATGGTCAGCAGATTAATTGAAATTTTTACCATCAGAATGGCTAAGTGGAATGGAAGAGAATGTGAAGTGTTCACTTTATCAGGATTATTGAATTCAAACCCCGTCGCAGTCATTGTTGGTTGAGACCCAAGTATCAGTTTTGGACTGAAAAAGATAGAAAGGAATAAGCTTAATCAATTACTGAACGGAATTCCAATTTCCATGCTCTGGTTTCACAGAAAGTGTAAAAGCAGCTCCAGTGGGATAGAAATAATTGAGCTCGTGGATTAAATGGCTATTTTTATTTTTATTTTATTCAATTAGCAGATGGTTCTTCTCTTGACTAAAATACAAACATTCCATGTAGAAAAGTAATGGTTCCCACGTTACAATGAATAGAACCAATTAAAAAAAAAAAAAAAAAAAAAAAAGAGGAAATGGCATAAATCCCATCCATCCACCTTCAGGCAGCCTCGCCTATAAATACCATACCTCCTCTTCGGCTATTCACACCTCAAAACCTCCCAATACATCATCTTTCTTCCTCAGTCTTCCTCTTTATCAATTAGTTATTTCACACTTCCCAAACGCATCTCAGAATCATGGGTGTATTCACATACGAATCTGAGTTCACTTCCGCCATTCCTCCTGCTAGGTTGTTCAATGCCTTTGTTCTTGATGCTGACAACCTCATTCCCAAGATTGCACCACAAGCAGTGAAGAGCACTGAGATCCTTGAAGGAGATGGCAGAGTTGGAACCATTAAGAAGATCAACTTCGGTGAAGGTAGCACATACAGCTATGTGAAGCACAGAATTGATGGGGTGGACAAGGACAACTTTGTCTACAAGTAGAGTGTGATTGAAGGAGATGCTATCTCTAAGACAATTGAGAAAATCTCTTATGAGACTAAGTTGGTTGCTTCCAGCAGCGGTTCTGTCATCAAGAGCACTAGCCACTACCACACCAAAGGTGACATTGAGATTAAGGAAGAGCATGTTAAGGCTGGTAAAGAGAAGGCCTCCCACCTCTTCAAGTTGATTGAGAACTACCTCTTGGAGCACCAGGATGCCTACAACTAAATTAATGTTGTCTGCTGCCGGAAGAAGCATTATTAATTAGTTGTGTCCTCTTTTGGCATCAAACAATGTATCGGTGTGGTTTTCATTCCCTTTTTCTTCAAATTTTGAAACAGTGTTTTCGCTTGTAATTGGAGCTTTTGAGTGGAGTGAATATTGTGTTTCCCTTCATTTACAAATAAATAAGAAGAAATCATATTTGATGATATATTTTCAAATTTCTTTTTCAATTTTCATTTTTCTAACTTGACTTCTATTATTTCATGTGACATGTCATGTCAATCACACCAAAAGATCACATGATAACTAATTGGCTTTTTAGCCAAAATGGTCTCTGAGATTTGCATAACACGTCACTTTGGTCCATGAGATTGAAAATCAATAGAAATGGTCATTGAGATTGTCCACCATCCATTATTTTCGTCATTCCGTTAAAAACTCCGTTAAGTGTCCTGGAGATCTTGGCCGAAAGTTTGGACAATTTTCAAAGCTTCATAACTCAATCATTTCTTAACCGAATTCAACCCATAATATATCAAACTGAAGATAGGAAAGTGTAGAACAAGATTATACCATTTGGAAGCCTAATGGTTGTTGGAGATGGCCGGAAAATAGCCTGAAGGGTGACTGGTCCGCGGGAAAACTGGAAAACTCGCCGGAAATTGAGTAAAATTTAAACGTTCATAACTTCTTCAATACTCAACGAAATCAAGTGATTCGAAAACAAAAATCATACTTCTTGATGTGACGAAGAGCCTGGTACCTTTTTTAAAGGTTAACTAGTTTTGGTTTGGCCCAAAAACAGTTTGAAAGTGGCTATCTTGGTTGTCGAGTTAGCCACTTTTGACCAGTTTGCCAGCCAAAACACAGCAAGTTAGCCTTTGAAAAAGGTACCATTATCTTCCTCTCTTTGAGGAGTATGATTTTCATTTTTAATCAATCGATTTCGTTGAGTATTGAAGAAGTTATGAACATTTAAAGTTTACCCACTTTCATGCGAGTTTTCTAGTTTTTCCACGGACCAGTCACATTTCAGGCTATTTTTCGGCCATCTTCGGCAACCATTGGGCTTCCAAATAGGTAGAATCTTGTTCTACACTTTCCTATCTACATTGTGATATATTATGGGTTGAATTTGGTTATGAAACGATTGAGTTACGAAACTTTGAAAATTGCCCAAACTTCCGGCCAAGAGATTCAGGACACTTATAAGAGTTTTTAACGGAATGACTAAAATAATGGATAGTGGACAATCTTATGGACCAAAGCCTAACTAATTTAAGAAAACAAATGAATCTTATCTACCACCTAATATGCGATCAATTCAAAGAAAAACCAATGAAAATGACTTGAAAACTTTGAGTTTTAACGATAAGGACAAAATAAATGGTAAAGTGAATAGTATCAGGATTGACCTTTTAATGTAAAAATATGATTTATCGTTAAAATGAACAACACCGGAAACTTTTCGTTAAAGTTCCTTCAATTTAAAGCATCATATTTTCTAACTACACGAGTTGACCACACATATTTAACATTTACCGTTATCATGGTATGACAAATGAATATACATATGCCATAGTCTTTTTGCATGAGTTGACCCAATCCTTTATATTTGAATAAGAATCCTTGCTCTCAGGTACCGTTTGGTACGTGGGACGGGATGGAACAAAGTGGGATAAGACGTTCCGTCCGACGTTTGGTGCGCCTAAAACGGGTGGAACAAGCTGTTCCATGGGACGAGTTTTGAATGAATTTTCGTTCCATCTCACCCCCTTGGAATGACTCGTTCCACATCCGTGGAACACAAAATTATAACCTCTCTGTCTCCTTCTTCTTCCTCCTTGTTTCCATCCGAGGGCATCTTTGCTCCCGCTCCGTTCCGTTCCGTTCCGTCCTGTCCCGTCCCATTCCGTTCTGTCCCGTCCCGTCTGCATACCAAACGATACCTCAGCTACCCTTATATTTGTAGACTAATAAATGTATCGGTGTGGTCTCATTGAGTTTCAAAAATAATATATTATCATATATATTTGAGTAAGAATCCCTGCTCTCAGCTACCTATATACTCTATTAATTTAATAGACTCTGTTTGAAATGTCCTTGGTAAAGTTCTGCCAAACATACTCACTACAATGGAGTTCCAACAAGGCAATTACTTTAGGGCCTCATTCGAATGATAACTAACAAATTTAAGGTACACTGAAGGTAGAGAATAATGATTTTATTTATTTATTTATTATTACTTTTTTTTAAGGGGATAAGGAGGTTAGAATTGGAAAAAAACTTCTCCTTTCTATACCATTTTGAGGAGGATTAAAATAGATAAGTTTTCTTCTAAGTAATTCATCTCCTACTCCAAGTTTGCTACAAAATTTTCATTTATTCCTTCAACATACCTTGATAATAGCGGTTTATCCATTGCAACCCAATCCTTTATACTACACAAGACTTAAGTGATAATTCTTTTACCTTCAACATATATATTAGTAATCGCAACATTGTAAAAGCTTCACACACGTAATTAGCTGTTGATATATATATATATATATATATATAGTGATTTCATGTATAGACTGTTCAGTTGAGAGTCCTCACAACTAAAGCTTTTATGAAACAGTATGAATGTAATTTATTGAGGTTAATTAGTACACTGATGGCGATGAAATGAATGGATAATACCGAGATACTCACTAGTGAGTATTGATGTACTCACTTTCTGACTTGATTCAATAAAAAAATGTCACATGTTTCTATTTTTAAAAGGCCAAGAAAAATTAAATAACATGTCCATTATTTTTCAAAACAATAAAATAATTCAAAATATCATTGGACAAAATTAAAAGGTGAGTACCCAAGTATTATCCGAAATGAATTGGTGTCTAATGCCCAATTGATGAAACCTTGTTTGACAAAATTGTTGTTTGCTTCATATATTGTTGTCCCTACTACATCACAACTAGTATGCACTTCCAGAAGTTCAAATTAGGGTACTTGACTTGCATTTCAAACATATGGCTGCATTGAGTCAACATTGATTGCCCATAATTTTCTATGGAGTTTTTACATATTCAAACGGAAAAGGAAAGATAAAAATGTTCAATTAGAACAAAGTCCAAATACACAGTCCTCGTATCTATTAACTATTTTACGTACGCAGCCAATGACCATGTTGATTGTGAATCTACAAAATTAGATAAATATTTTTGGTTATACGATATGAAATGATTAGAGGGTAAGTTAGCCCTGCCACAATTAAGGTGAGATGGTCAGCAGATTAATTGAAATTTTTACCATCAGAATGGCTAAGTGGAATGGAAGAGAATGTGAAGTGTTCACTTTATCAGGATTATTGAATTCAAACCCCGTCGCAGTCATTGTTGGTTGAGACCCAAGTATCAGTTTTGGACTGAAAAAGATAGAAAGGAATAAGCTTAATCAATTACTGAACGGAATTCCAATTTCCATGCTCTGGTTTCACAGAAAGTGTAAAAGCAGCTCCAGTGGGATAGAAATAATTGAGCTCGTGGATTAAATGGCTATTTTTATTTTTATTTTATTCAATTAGCAGATGGTTCTTCTCTTGACTAAAATACAAACATTCCATGTAGAAAAGTAATGGTTCCCACGTCACAATGAATAGAACCAATTAAAAAAAAAAAAAAAAAAAGAAAAAAAAGAGGAAATGGCATAAATCCCATCCATCCACCTTCAGGCAGCCTCGCCTATAAATACCATACCTCCCCTTCAGCTATTCACACCTCAAAACCACCCAATACATCATCTTTCTTCCTCAGTCTTCCTCTTTATCAATTAGTACTTCACACTTCCCAAACGCATCTCAGAATCATGGGTGTATTCACATACGAATCTGAGTTCACCTCCGCCATTCCTCCTGCTAGGTTGTTCAATGCCTTTGTTCTTGATGCTGACAACCTCATCCCCAAGATTGCACCACAAGCAGTGAAGAGCACTGAGATCCTTGAAGGAGATGGCGGAGTTGGAACCATTAAGAAGATCAACTTCGGTGAAGGTAGCACATACAGCTATGTGAAGCACAGAATTGATGGGGTTGACAAGGACAACTTTGTCTACAAGTACAGTGTGATTGAAGGAGATGCTATCTCTGAGACGATTGAGAAGATCTCTTATGAGACTAAGTTGGTTGCTTCCAGCAGCGATTCTGTCATCAAGAGCACTAGCCACTACCACACCATAGGTGACATTGAGATCAAGGAAGAGCATGTTAAGGCTGGTAAAGAGAAGGCCTCCCACCTCTTCAAGTTGATTGAGAACTACCTCTTGGAGCACCAGGATGCCTACAACTAAATTAATGTTGTCTACTGCCGGAAGAAGTATTATTAAGTAGTTGTGTCCTCTTTTGGCATCAAACAATGTATCAGTGTGGTTTTCATTCCCTTTTTCTTTAAGTTTTGAAACAGTGTTTTGGCTTGTAATTGGAGCTTTTGATTGGAGTGAATATTGTGTTTCCCTTCTTTTACAAATAAATAAGAAGAAATCATATTTGATGATATATTTTCAAATTTCTTTTTCAATTTCCATTTTTCTAACTTGACTTCTATTATTTCATGTGACATGTCATGTCAATCACACCAAAAGATCACATGATAACTAATTGGCTTTTTAGCCAAAATGGTCTCTGAAATTTGCATAACACGTCACTTTGATCCATGAGATTGAAAATCAATAGAAATGGTCATTGAGATTGTCCACCATCCATTATTTTGGTCATTTTGTTAAAAACTCCGTTAAGTGTCCTAGAGATCTTGGCCGAAAGTTTGGACAATTTTCAAAGCTTCATAACTCAATCGTTTCTTAACCAAATTCAACCCATAATATATCAAAATTAAACGTTCATAACTTCTTCAATACTCAACGAAATCAAGTGATTCGAAAACAAACATCATACTTCTGATGGATGAAGAGCTTGGTACCTCTTTTAAAGGTAACTAGCTGTGGTTGGCCGAAAAAAGTTGAAGTGCTATCTTGGTTGTCGAGTTAGCCATTTCAACTACTTTGCCGGCAAAACACGGCAAGTTAGCCTTTGAAAAAGGTACCATTATCTTCCTCTCTTTGAGGAGTATGATTTTCATTTTTAATCAATCAATTTCGTTGAGTATTGAAGAAGTTATGAACGTTTAAAGTTTACCCAGTTTCATGCGAGTTTTCCAGTTTTTCCGCGGACTAGTCACATTTTAGGCTATTTTCGGCCATCTTCGGCAACCATTGGGCTTCCAAATAGGTAGAATCTTGTTCTACACTTTCCTATCTTCATTGTGATATCTTATGGGTTGAATTTGGTTATGAAACGATTGAGTTACGAAACTTTGAAAATTGCCCAAACTTCCGGCCAAGAGATTCAGGACACTTATCAGAGTTTTTAACGGAAGGACTAAAATAGTGGACATGGACAATCTCAGGGGCCATTTCTATTGATTTTCAATCTCAGAGACCAAAGTGATCGGTTATGCAAATCTCAGGGACCATTTTGGATAAAAAGCCTAACTAATTTAAGAAAAAAAATGAATCTTATCTACCACCTAGTATGCGATCAATTCAAAGAAAAACCAATGAAAATGACTTGAAAACTTTGAGTTTTAACGGCAAGGACAAAATAAATGGTAAAGTGAATAGTATCAGGATTGACCTTTTAATGTAAAAATATGATTTTTCATTAAAATGAACAGCACCGGAAACTTTTCGTTAAAGTTCCCTCAATTTAAAGCATCATATTTTCTAACTACACGAGTTGACCACACATATTTAACATTTACAGTTATCATGGTATGACAAATGAATATACATATGCCATATTCTTTTTGCATGAGTTGACCCAATCCTTTATATTTGAATAAGAATCCATGCTCTCGGCTACCTTTATATTTGTAGACTAATAAATGTATCGGTGTGGTCTCATTGAGTTTCAAAAATAATATATTATCATATATATTTGAATAAGAATCCTTGCTCTCAGCTACCTATATACTCTATTAATTTAATAGACTCTGTTTGAATTGTCCTTGGTAAAGTTCTGCCAAACATACTCACTACAATGGAGTTCCAACAAGGCAATTACTTTAAGGCCTCATTCGAATGATAACTACCAAATTTAAGGTACAATGAAGGTAGAGAATAATGATTTTATTTATTTATTTATTATTACTTTTTTTTTAAGGGGATAAGGAGGTTAGAATTGGAAAAAAACTTCTCCTTTCTATACCATTTTGAGGAGGATTAAAATAGATAAGTTTTCTTCTAAGTAATTCATCTCCTACTCCAAGTTTGCTACAAAATTTTCATTTATTCCTTCAACATACCTTGTTAATAGCGGTTTATCCATTGCAACCCAATCCTTTATACTACAGAAGACTTAAAGTGATAATTCTTTTACCTTCAACATATATAATAGTAATCGCAACATTGTAAAAGCTTCACACACGTAATTAGCTGTTGATATATATATATATATATATATAGTGATTTCATGTATAGAATGTTCAGTTGAGAGTCCTCACAACTAAAGCTTTTATGAAACAGTATGAATGTAATTTATTGAGGTTAATTAGTACACTGATGGCGATGAAATGAATGGATAATACCGAGATACTCACTAGTGAGTATTGATGTACTCACTTTCTGACTTGATTCAATAAAAAAATGTCATATGTTTCTATTTTTAAAAGGCCAAGAAAAATTAAATAACATGTCCATTATTTTTCAAAACAATAAAATAATTCAAAATATCATTGGACAAAATTAAAAGGTGAGTACCCAAGTATTATCCGAAATGAATTGGTGTCTAATGCCCAATTGATGAAACCTTGTTTGACAAAATTGTTGTTTGCTTCATATATTGTTGTCCCTACTACATCACAACTAGTATGCACTTCCAGAAGTTCAAATTAGGGTACTTGACTTGCATTTCAAACATATGGCTGCATTGAGTCAACATTGATTGCCCATAATTTTCTAAGGAGTTTTTACATATTCAAACGGAAAAGGAAAGATCAAAATGTTCAATTATAACAAAGTCCAAATACACAGTCCTCGTATCTATTAACTATTTTACGTACGCAGCCAATGACCATGTTGATTGTGAATCTACAAAATTAGATAAATATTTTTGGTTATACGATATGAAATGATTAGAGGGTAAGTTAGCCCTGCCACAATTAAGGTGAGATGGTCAGCAGATTAATTGAAATTTTTACCATCAGAATGGCTAACTGGAATGGAAGAGAAAGTGAAGTGTTCACTTTATCAGGATTATTGAATTCAAACCCTGTCGCAGTCATTGTTGGTTGAGACCCAAGTATCAGTTTTGGACTGAAAAAGATAGAAAGGAATAAGCTTAATCAATTACTGAACGGAATTCCAATTTCCATGCTCTGGTTTCACAGAGTGTAAAAGCAGCTCCAGTGGGATAGAAATAATTGAACTCGTGGATTAAATGGCTATTTTTCTTTGTATTTTATTCAATTAGCAGATGGTTCTTCTCTTGACTAAAATACAAACATTCCCTGTAGAAAAGTAATGGTTCCCACGTCACAATGAATAGAATCAATTTAAAAAAAAAAAAAGAAAAAAAAAGAAAGAGGAAATGGCATAAATCCCATCCATCCACCTCCAGGCAGCCTCGCCTATAAATACCATACCTCCCCTTCAGCTATTCACACCTCAAAACCTCCCAATACATCATCTTTCTTCCTCAGTCTTCCTCTTTATCAATTAGTACTTCACACTTCCCAAACGCATCTCAGAATCATGGGTGTATTCACATACGAATCTGAGTTTACCTCCGCCATTCCTCCTGCTAGGTTGTTCAATGCCTTTGTTCTTGATGCTGACAACCTCATCCCCAAGATTGCACCACAAGCAGTGAAGAGCACTGAGATCCTTGAAGGAGATGGCGGAGTTGGAACCATTAAGAAGATCAACTTCGGTGAAGGTAGCACATACAGCTATGTGAAGCACAGAATTGATGGGGTTGACAAGGACAACTTTGTCTACAAGTACAGTGTGATTGAAGGAGATGCTATCTCGGAGACGATTGAGAAGATCTGTTATGAGACTAAGTTGGTTGCTTCCAGCAGCGGTTCTGTCATCAAGAGCACTAGCCACTACCACACCAAAGGTGACATTGAGATTAAGGAAGAACATGTTAAGGCTGGTAAAGAGAAGGCCTCCCACCTCTTCAAGTTGATTGAGAACTACCTCTTGGAGCACCAGGATGCCTACAACTAAATTAATGTTGTCTACTGCCGGAAGAAGTATTATTAAGTAGTTGTGTCCTCTTTTGGCATCAAACAATGTATCAGTGTGGTTTTCATTCCCTTTTTCTTTAAGTTTTGAAACAGTGTTTTGGCTTGTAATTGGAGCTTTTGATTGGAGTGAATATTGTGTTTCCCTTCTTTTACAAATAAATAAGAAGAAATCATATTTGATGATATATTTTCAAATTTCTTTTTCAATTTCCATTTTTCTAACTTGACTTCTATTATTTCATGTGACATGTCATGTCAATCACACCAAAAGATCACATGATAACTAATTGGCTTTTTAGCCAAAATAGTTTCTGAGATTTGCATAACACATCACTTTGGTCCATGAGATTGAAAATCAATAGAAATGGTCCTTAAGATTGTCCACCATCCATTATTTTGGTCATTCCGTTAAAAACTCCGTTAGCTTCATAACTGAATCGTTTCTTAACCAAATTCAACCCATAATATATCAAACTGAAGATAGGAAAGTGTAGAACAAGATTATACCATTTGGAAGCCTAATGGTTGTTGGAGATGGCCGGAAAATAGCCTGAAGGGTGGCTGGTCCGCGGGAAAACTGGAAAACTCGCCGGAAACTGAGTAAAATTTAAACGTTCATAACTTCTTCAATACTCAACGAAATCAAGTGATTCGAAAACAAAAATCATACTTCTTGATGGGATGAAGAGCTTGGTACCTCTTTTAAAGGTTAACTAGCTGTGGTTTGGCCGAAAAACAGTTTGAAAGTGGCTATCTTGGTTGTCGAGTTAGCCATTTTCAACTAGTTTGCCGGCCAAAACACTGCAAGTTAGCCTTCGAAAAAGGTACCATTATCTTCCTCTCTTTGAGGAGTATGATTTTCATTTTTAATCAATCAATTTCATTGAGTATTGAAGAAGTTATGAACGTTTAAAGTTTACCCAGTTTCAGGCGAGTTTTCCAGTTTTTCCGCGGACCAGTCACATTTTAGGCTATTTTTCGGCCATCTTCGGCAACCATTGGGCTTCCAAATAGGTGGAATCTCGTTCTACACTTTCCTATCTTCATTGTGATATATTATGGGTTGAATTTGGTTATGAAACGATTGAGTTACGAAACTTTGAAAATTGCCCAAACTTCCGGCCAAGAAATTCAGGACACTTGTAAGAGTTTTTAACGGAATGACTAAAATAATGGATAGTGGACAATCTTATGGACCATTTCTATTGATTTTCAATCTTAGGGACCAAAGTGATGTGTTATGCAAATC